AACTACCCTTCCTTGACTGATTTTCTGCAGTTATATATTTTCTATATGTGCACGTTGATTTCAGTGAACTAAAATGGCTAGATTTGGATGTTCAGTGGCGTTTGAAACACATTGCCATATATCCGAGAGGAAAAAAAATGGCTCTAAACTCTACGGTTTGAAATGAAAGTTTTTCATGAAGTACCGGTCCCTTGTCATATTTCTAGAGTTGCAGCATGCTGGAAACAATACTACAGTGACCATACTAAAAAGGATCCCTCCCTCCCCACATTCTACTGTTTGTGTAAAATTCATGCGAGACAAAGATTGATTTGTCCAACAGGACTTGTCAGAAAGAACAAGGGGGAGAAGGGGGACACCCAAATTTTGAATATCAAAAATTATTTCTATCTAGATTTAGACATTGGTTTACAGACTGAATCGAAAGACTGGGATTTCTAACATCAAACATTCCTAGCCCAGGTGCCATTGTGGGAGAAAAATGATCATCCAGTTTCCCTTGAACAGACAAGTCAAAAGATTCAAAAGGAAGAATGAAACTGGTAGAAGCATCCCCATCATGATTGAAGCTTCATTTTAAAGGAAACCATTGTTTCGAACAGGAAATGAATCAAAAGGTACAATCTATGTCTCAATCTTCTTATTTATGAACTGGAAAGCCCCATGTTTTTGTGGCATTTTAAACATTGTAGATAGTTATGCGGTTGATAATTTAGATATTATTTTTTCATTCCTGAGGGCAGTCAGAATTGAACACATATTTTGAATACATATTGTGAAGATATTTTAGCAGCTTTTTTTAATATAATGAAAAGCCCCAATATTTCTGGCCTTTGCATTAGCAGTTTGATCCTACAGATGTTTGTTCTTATTCACAGCTCCTATCTGACATGGAGTAATCAGAAACATACATAATGACAGAGTTTACACAAAACACACTAAACTAAATTGTGGGTTTATGTTTCACTTTAACAAAACCCCACTACTTTCTTAGTGTATTGCATAAATCAGATCATCTATTAAACTGTAGCAGGTCTATTTGGTTCAAGGCTAGCTATAAATTACTGTCAAATAAATATATAAACAAAGGCTGTAGTGGAAAGAACATGCTGTGTGAACACAACCGTGTTGTTAAAACAGGACTTGGGGCTTGCAGTGTTGTGTGAATCCACTCATGATTCAGAAATATTCAATACCGCTTTTGCACAAAATCAATCTTATCTTTGGAGGTGGGGTAATTCGTTTGCTTTTTTTTTTGTAGAATGTTAACAACCATGTGAGATTGTCTGGCAGCCATACTGTATCAGAATGCCCAAAAATACGTTTTGACATTCCCGCTCCACCTCTTCCCTCCCCGAAAGGATTTTGAGCAAGAAAAGTCATGAAATAAGAGGAGAGATCCCAATGGAGGGGTGGCGGGCTAAGGGGCGCCGAAGCTGAAACTAGGATCCGGTGTGAGGCCTCTCGGTGGTGAGATGGAAACAGCAAGTGCCCTTTTGGGAGGGAGGCGAAAGCTCGAAGGGATCGCCTTGCGCTGCAGCTGTGGACTGTGCTGGGGGATCGCCTCTCTAGTCCCCTCCCCCCCGCACCTTATTTTTTTTGCTCTCGGCAAGTCCCGACCCAGAAGGATGGGGGGGCGGGGGGGCGGCGGCCGGGAGGTTTTCTCTCCGAGCAGCCCCTGCACCGGCCGGACAAGGAGTCGGGGAGGGAATTGGAGACGCAGCCTGGCCTTGCTGGGATGCAGCAGAGGTGGTGCTCGTTGCAGAAGCTTCCAGTCCCATCCCAGCACTCTTACAGCTTGTCTCCCTCAGGAACCATCTCTGGTCTCCAGCTCAGGAAAGCCCGAACCTGGCGACCGGCAGCCGGATAACCGCGCCGACGCTTCTATTTCGGAGACGGGAGAGAGGCCATCAGCGCAGTGGAGACAGCAAGGAGAGGGGTCTTCCCTCGGGGTCCAGACAAATACTCCCACCGGGTCTTCCTGGCACCCCATTTACTCAGGTGGAAGGTCACCCCGTTACTCAGACTCTGGGAGGTCTCTAGGCTGCAGGGGCAAGAAATGGTCCTCTGGGATGCTGGCCCCTGGGTCCTTTGGGTTTTGCTCCTCTCTCTCCTAGGGTCTCCAGGAGTTCCCCTTGCTGAGGTAGGGGGCAGTCAGCAGTATAGCTCTAAGGCTTACCTTCTCCGTATCAGCATCTCCTCAGTGGCTCTAAACCGCAGTGTGGTCCAGAGGGAGCGTTTCTGGATCACAAGGAGGTAGACTACAGGAGACAAGTGGCGCTACCGAGAGCCAGCTGTTCCTCTCCCACCCTGCAAAATCATCTGGATCCCCACTTCTCCCAGGAACAAGCAGAATCTAAAGATGAGGGTGAAGGTTCGTTCTCCCAGCTTGTGGGTTGGCTTCCGAATGTTTCCTACCAGGCTAGGTAGTGTTTTCGCTGGAGTTTAGGGAATGTCAGTGTCAGCGTTTTTCTGTTTGTAAGGGCTTCGTGTGGCCAGTAGCTCTGGTGATGGTCCTTGTGATGGGTCAGGTGCGAGTCATCAGTGGGAGCTTGTGATGGGTTTTGTGATGGGGAGGTTACATCAGGTGAGGGTCATTGGGAGGTGAAGTGATGTGGGGGGAGGCTGGCGTGGGTTGGTTGAGGGTCGATGCTGTCTCTGGTTAGTTGTGCAATTGATTTGTATTCTGAGGGGGTTCGTAGGCTGGTTGTAGGTCAATGTGTCTGTTGAAGGAATTGCTTGTGGAATGCCAGGCTTCGATGAACTCACGGGTGGCCAGGTAGCTGATGATTTTTGTGTTACTCCAATCGAACTGGTGCTGTTTGGTGTCGGTGTGGGTAGAGATTAAGGATTTGGGATTGTGGTGTTTGACTGCCAGCTGGTGTTCATGGAACCTGTTTAATTGACGTGATATTTGTCCCACGTAGAATTGATTGCAACGCTTACAGTTGATTTTGTAGATTATATTGTTTCTTTCATCCTTCTGTATCTTGTCTTTGGTTCTGGATAATTCCTGGTGGAGTGTGGCTGTGGGTTTGTGGGCTATTGCTATTCCTAGGGGTTGGAGAATTCTGGTTGTGATTTCCGACACCCCTTTTGTGTATGGTAGGGTTAGTTTTTGCATGGTGGTTGGATGTGCGGTGTATTATGGTTTGCGTGCTGTGTATTGGAAAATGAAGTTTTTTGGGATAGCCATTAGGGAGAAAGATGTCAAGCAGCTGTTTTCTTAGTGTTGAGGTGCTGCAGTGAATCCTGACTCTTCTGAAGAGGGCCTGGACATAACTTGTGTGTGGTGGGGTAGTTACTTGTGAAGCTAAAGACTCTAAAGAGGAGTGCTTGGCCATCCAAAGAAGGCAGCCCTTCTCAGGGAAGCCTGCAGCAATAAACCTGAAACTCTGCCCTCCCCCAAATTTGTGCTGAAGGCAGGTGAGCAGCTTTTGCCCCTCTGTTTCAACTAGCATGTTTAGGAATGCTTAAACTGCAGCCTTATTTTAATTTCCAGTCTGTATTTGCCATTGTTCAGGAAGCACCACTGCAACAGGAACTCCTTCCACTTGCAAGAGAAAAAGAAGCATTTTTTTCCTTCATCTAAGCAGCAGAGAGACCCCTTAGGGGACAATGTACATATGAAAAGACAACAATAAGAAAAGGAACAATCTTGCAAAAAATATTAAGGCCAAAAAAGCTAAATAGACATAAAATATATTTCATTAATCTAATTTATATGGAGAGCTATCATTTAATAAAGCACTCTGTACCTTTGTCTTTGCAAATATTTATTACCCCCAACATAAATGCCTTGCTTTATGAATTGCCTTTTCTACTTTAAAATGTTTGCCTGTGTTTGAAGATGTTATAAAACATCACCACTTTCTCAAACTTCTTCTGTTTTGCTCTTCCTTCATATATTTGATCTTCATTCATTTTGCCTATATTCATTCGCACCATTTAGTTCTGAGCTTACTTCTTTTGGCATTATCAATGGATTTAAATGCAATCTACTTTCCTTTGTATCAAACTCTCACTTCCATATTACAAAGGGGTAAAAGCCAGTGGTGGGATTCAAATAGGCGAACACCCAGTTCTCTGTGTGGATGCTGCTTTTGAAAGTCCGTTCTGAGCCTGGGCAACAAAAAATTAGCTACCGGTTCTGCCAAACTAGTACGAACTGGCTGAATCCCACCACTGGAAGAAGCACACTGATGTATACAGTACACCTTTTTTTTTCAGTAAATGTTCCGTCATAACTCAAACCTAATACAAGCAGTAACAGTTCATTTCGTGACCTTTCAAAGTTACATCACTGAAAAATGTGACTTATGACTGTTTTTCACTTAACGACCATTGCAGCATCTCTATGGTTACATGATCAAAATTTAGATGCTTGGCAACTGACTCATGACAGCTGCAGTGTCCCGGTGTCATGTGATCACCTTTTGTGACCTGAGAAGCAAAGTCAATGGGGAAGCCAAATTCAGTTAACAACTGTGTTACTAATTTAACAGCTACAGTAATTCACTTAACAGCCATGGCAAGAAAGGTCATAAAATGGGGGAAAAAAATCACACAACTGTCTTGCTTAGCAACAAAAATTTGGGACTCCGCTGTGGTCATAAGTCAAGGATTACCTGTAGACTCTCCGGTCTTTTCTATGAAGAGATAACACACACCCCTCCGTCCTCCTTTTAACAGAATCCAGAAGTATTTTATGTTTGCATTCACAGTAGTTTTTGGAAGAACTCTGCATCTCCGTGTGCATGGATGAGGATGTACAGGCACCCATATGACCAGCAGCAATTTTCCAGTCTGTTTTGTGTTGCTTTTTTTTTTTTAGGTGAAGGCACCCTCAAAATGCTTAACAAAATGACCCCTCATCTCATGTCATGTTCTTTATGTCTCTGAACTCCCATGCCAGTTGTGCCTTCTCTTATTCCAGCATATACAGGTGGGAGAAAAGTGAAGTACCAATCGTTAAGCTAGAAAAAAAGGTCAGCCACTAAGAAGATGTAGCAGAATAGATATTTGCTAATAATTTACAAAACAGAAACATACATTATAGGTAAAATTCACAACAGAGACAAGATCTCTCAGTCACATTCTTTTGCCAACAAGCGATTATATCTGTGAAAATGACCATCCGGTTCTGGCAAACTGCTTCAGTCTCCCACTGAAAAAAGTTGCCACAGAAAGAACTCAGTTAGCCTTGAGTCGAGGGGAGCAGAGCGGTTGCCACAGATGGCCAAGAGTGGGCCTGTTTCATAGCTCTGTGTGCTTCAGTTACTGCGTCCAGCCATGCAACGGTCCTTGTTCTCTTCTACTGGTTGTTTCTGGTCGAATAGTGCAGCTTGGCTTCTTGCAAGAAGTTTTGAAAGGCAGGTTCTTCATGGCTTTCCTCTGTCACTATAGTAGAAAAAAATGAAGAGATGTGTTAACAAAGTGAGTCTAACTAATGCCTCAGGACCCAAGATACCCTAGTACACAGGTTGGCAACCTGCGACTCCGGAGAGCCTTCCCCTGCAGCTCCCTGTCTCCTGTGCCATTTGCAGAGAAAGACAGAGAGGCACTTGCTCTTCCCTTCTCTCCCTCCCTCTCCCTCTCCCTCTCCCTCTCTCTCTCTCTCTCTGTGTGTGTGTGTGTGTGTGTGTGTGTGTGTGTGTGTGTAAAAAAGAGAGTAGCCTCACCCTGTTCCGACAAGCTGACAAGCTTATTGGGCGGGGCTCCTCCCTTTGCTGCGTCTCTGCAGGAAGCAGGAAGGGCAGGAGAGCTAGCTACCCTAGCTATGCTGACTCAGAAATTCTGGGAGTTGAAGTCCATGAGTCATAAAAAAGCCGAGGTTGCCTACCCCTGAGCTAGCCCAATAAGAATGTGTGTCAGCTTGTTGGAGAACAGCTTGAAGCCAGCTTGCCAGGTGAGCAGAAGATCGGAGAGAGGAAGAGAGGGGGGGGGAGAGAGAAAGAGAGGGAGGGAGAGAGAGGGGGAGAGAGACGGGGAGGGAGAGAAAGAGAGGAAAGAGAGAGAGAGAAAGAGAGAAAGGGAGGGAGGGACACACCCTTTTGACATCTAAAATGAAGATAACACTGCATATATCCTTTTTTACCTTTAAATACACACACACACACACCTATAATAAAGGTAAAAAAGGATATATGCAGTGTTATCTTCATTTTAGATATCAAAAGGGTTTTGAGGCTCCCAGTGTTTTGTTTTCGGTGGGAAACAGGTCCAAGTGGCTCTTTGAGTGTTTTGGGTTGCCTACCCCTGCCCTAGTAGAAACCAGCATCACCACAATCCATTGTTGAATTGTACAATGAATATAAAACAGTATGTATGTATGTATGTATGTATGTATGTATGTATGTATGTATGTATGTATTGCATTTCTATGCAACCCATCTCTCTAATACAGTAACTCTGGGCAGCTTACAATATAATAAAAGTTAAAAAGTGCAAAAAAAACAATTAAAACTTACAAATTAAAAACCAAGATGATGGGCAGCCTAGGTAGAGAATCGTCTCTATCCCATCAGCCACCCCCAATGTAGTGGGTCCTTCTCTGGCCCCAGGCCAAGCAGCAGAGCCACATTTTTAGGCTCTTTTGAAAGGCCAGGAATTTGGAGGTGGATCTCACCTCTTACAGGAGAATATTCCAGAGGGCAGGGACCACAGCAGAAAAGGCTCTTCACCTGGACTCCACCAGCCAAAATTTTTGGCCAATGGGATCCAAAATGGGCCCTTTTCACCAGAACAAGTGGGGCAACCCCAGATACTCTGGACCCGTGCCATAAGGGGCTTTAAAGGTAATGACTTTATTGTTAGGAACTCTATGTAAAGCAACTGATGGGAAAACGCAGCCACCCTCCCTCTTAGCTTGTCTCTTGCAATTTTTAATTCCTCCTATTTCTTCAGAGCTTTAATTACCTTTATGATCAATGTCATCAGTATCGCTGTCTTGGGCCTCTTCCTCCTCTTCTGGATCCAAAGTTCCTCGTGTCAAAATCAGTTCTGATGAGCCTAGTGAAGATTCTGCCACTGAACCTTTGAACCAAAATCAAACCAAAAAGCAATTTTTCAATTTATTCCTGCGCAGTAGGATGAACACCTTGTCCAGGAGTTCCATGCCAGGTCTCAAACTCTACAAGGTCAGAAGAGGGTATGTATACGTGATGCCTAAATGAGGGCTCTGGGCAGCTTTAGAAATTTAGCAAGGCAGCAACAATAGTTGCTTACTCCTATAGCTATAATGTAATACCTTGCCAGATGAAGTGCCATATCCCTTAGGTCAGGGGTAGGCAACCTTGGCTCTTTTATGACTCGTGGACTTCAACTCCCAGAATTCCTGAGCCAGCTGTGCTGGCTCAGGAATTCTGGGAGTTGAAGTCCACGAGTCATAAAAAAGCCAAGGTTGCCTACCCCTGCCTTAGGTAAATGCCTTAAGTAAGCCAATGTATACAAATTCCATCAGCAGCCCTTCCTTTTCTTCTGTGCTTCTCTATGAAACCCAACTATACCCTCAAATATTTAGTGGAGCAGATAAAATGATGACAGCTATGAACCTGAACATACTTCTAAATACTGCTTGGTGGCTTGTTAGCTCATTTATTAATCAAAGTTATATAGTCGCCCATCCCTCCAAAAGTGATTCTGAACAGCACAACAAAATAAAATGTAAAAAATTACAGATATAAGAATCCATGCTAATAAATATCATTAAAAAAAATAAGATACAAACCCTAGGTGATGAGAGGGATAAAAATGCCAACCACAACATTTGAGCCATGTCAGCAAGTGTCCTGTACCTTGGGAGCCCCAGGCCTGATAACATAACGAGGTCTTGAAGCCTATCAAAAGGGATGGAACTAATCTAATTTTGAGGGAAGGATGTTCCATAAGGCAGCCATCATGGCGGAGATATAGTGGGACCCTAGCTAATGGGACCCACAACATGCCCTCTCTGCTGGATCTGCTGGGGGGGGGGGAGCTGATATAACCAGGGAGAGGCAGTCCTTCAGAGAGCTTGATCCCATGCCATGAAAGGTTAAAAGCAGCATCTTGAATTGGACCTGGAAGCAAACTGGCAGCCAATGCTGCTCATAGAGTAATGGTGTAACATGCTGTTCTAGGAGTGCACATAACTGCCCGTATCACTGTATTCCGTACCAGCTGAAGCTTACAAATACTATGCAGGGACGTCTCTGTCTCTGTCGAGTTTCTCATGTACCTGAAACTGCTGGGCTGTTCTCCATAGCAACAGGCCCCATATCTCTCTGCAAATTTTTCAACTGTTCTTCCTGCTGCTGCTTCTGAGCTGTTTCCTGTAAATGAAGAGAGAGTATTTCAATAACCTATGTTTTTTCCCCCCTGTGCATTTGTATCTCAATTTGCTCTCACATTGGAACTTATTTTTCAAACTTGGCTAATTAGGTTTAATAAATCTATGTTAAATGAACTGTGGTTTAAAATGTTTGGACCCAGCCATCACGGTTTACTTAGCATGTCACAAAAGTAAATAACTTATTGCCAGTATTTTTTTATTATTCGTAGAAAAGACTTCTAGGTTCTTCCATAATTGTACATTAACCTCCATCACTGCTTTGAATTCATTTAACAATGGAAAAAGAAAGGCTCTTGGGCCTATACCCTCAAGGATTTTGATCTCTTCACCATAACCCTAGGGTTTCCTGCTTGATTTCCTTTTCTCACACTTCTTTTAACAGCTTATAGGTGAACTAGTATTTTCATCTGAAGAAATACCTTTTAGAACTCCAATGTCAGATATGAACAGCCAGACCCATCTAGAGTTCAAACTAGCTACTCAATGATTCTCTGCCTATCATACAGAATCTCCCCAGACTGGCAGCTTTTGTCTGGGAAAGACCAGACAAAGCTCAAAGGTATCTGGTGGGAGGATCAGACCTCTTATGTTTATGTATCAAATCCAAGTTAATTCCCCGCTTGAGCTCTCCTTCCACCGGGGGGGGGGGGTTTGCTCTCCAACATCCAGCAAACAACACAGTATTCAGACACAATTGGGGGTGGGAGGGGCTTACAGCAATACAGCCCAAAGCATCATGTATTTACCAATTTCTTTCTTAGGCGCTCGTATTCTGGTCGATATTCTCTGGAAGAAAAAAAAGGGGGCTTCATGTATTTACTCCTGAGCACTACTGACGTATATCCTAACAGACAACAATTTAGTTACTTGTTAAACTTATATGCCACCCATCTTGCCTGGTGGCAACTCTAGGACAGCTTACAAACCATTAGAAACCGTTTCATATAATAAAGTTCTTCTCATAGGGTCAGTGAATGGACATCACTGTTACAAGTAATCAGTGTGCGTACTCACCATTTTATTTACTGCTATAGAAAGAGAAGAAATTCTTCCTATAAGCCTAATATCCGCACCAAGAATGAATTACTTGGTGGTGCCTCAGGAAAACCCACTGACTTTACAATACATCAAAATTTGTGATATGGAATTGCTTAACAGTTGAGGTGTCTAACACAAACAGAAAATAATTGATTTCTGAAGGTTGTTGTAAAATCTAGTATATCCATAGGGTACAAATAAACTTAACTGGAAGCATTATTTGCCTAAACTTTCTTGTTTTATTTTTGTGCCTCTGAGTCAGTATGACTTCTGGTGACTGCCTGGACTAGTCCCTGCAGTTTTCTTGGCAAGGGTTTTTGGAAATGGTTTGCCATTGCCTCCTTCCTATGGCTGACAAAGTTTGACTGGCCCAAGGTCATCCAGATGCCTCTGTGCTTAAGATAGAACTAGAACTCCACAGTCTCCCAGTTTCTAGCCTGAGGCCTTAATCAATATATCAAACTGGCTCTCTCTAGTTTCTAGGCAACCTCAAATTCAGTTAAGTTTTGCAGAGTGCAAATTCCCATTTACACTTTGATTCAGGTGACCTGAGGGCATAGATCAGTGATGGCGAACCTTTTAGAGACCGAGTGCCCAAACTGCAACCCAAAACCCACTTATGCATCGTCAAGTGCCGGGTGGGTGTGGCCCATTGGCTGGGTATGGCCCATTGGGTGGACATGGCTGCAGTGGTAACGACAGACTGGGTGGGACTAAAAAGTTCAATCAATCAATTCCAACTTTGCAAGATCTTTTTTTTCCCGCAAGAAGTTGAAATTGATTGATTGATTGATTGATTGTACCTTTTTTTTTTTGCACACGGCAGTGGAGGCCTAAAGTGAAAAGGTTTTATAAAACCCAGCTGAAGGCCTAGGACTGGGGTGACGGTGCGTGTGCCCACAGAGAGGGCTCTGAGTGCCACCTCTGGCACCCGTGCCGTGCCATAGGTTCACCACCACTGGCATAGATAATCTCCCAAGTGGCCTCAATGGCTCTCGGTGACAGCTAATGACCACGTGACTGGAAAGAAATATGATCCTTCCATTTCCCCCTCCCCCCAATCCTGTCAGAGCTAATCCTTCCATCCCCTCTACCATCCTGCCAGAACCAACGAAGCTTCTTGGATGAGAAGTGAAATGTCTTCAAAGAAAAACAAGAAAATCCAGTTGCCTTTTGAAAAAGTATCTTAGAAACTCAAATTCAGTCCATCCCAAAACTCAGATATCCCTAAAGATAAAGAACAGCATACCGCATAAAAACAGCTCTTGCTATTTTCCTTCCTTTCCTGAAGAAGACTCACCTTTCATATTCATCAACAGCTTTGGACAAATGTTCAAAAAATTCATCCATCCCTGTTCCTTGAACAGCAGAAACACCCACAACCTGCAAGAGAAAGCTACTGATAAACTGGATGGCTTTAGAAATGTGGGTTTAAATAAATAAAAGCTCTGTCTTGCTTGAGGCTTAACTTCAACCTATCTCTTCCCATTCAGTGCCAAAAACTGCATTACTCAATAACATTTTTCACAAACCCGCCTACATACGTAACATATGGCACCGTTTGCAGTACAAAAGAGAGCACCCACCTGAAGTGAGTTGTAGAACTCGTCTAAAACAAGACTCATAGAGCGAGTTAAATTACTGGCGTAGCTGGTTTCCTGACTGAGGGCATCTTGAAAAGCTTCAAAGTCCTGCATCCATTCAAGTGCAAAGCTATGGTCAATGATGTCTGTCTGAGTTGAAAAATAAAAATAAGGTGTCCATTTAAGCAAAACATAGAAACAGCTTCTGCCAAAGAAGTCTTGCCAGAATCTTAGCCATTATACTTTGTTACCTACTGGCCCAGGAACGAGGACCAATGGCCTCATAATAATTGCTGGTTCTGTAGAAGTGGTAGGGAAAACAGACTGACTGCTCTTCATTTCATTTGCACAGAAAAGCCATGATAAGAAATTAAAGACTACAGTATTATCAAAACCCAACAGGCCATCTATGAACTATTGTGATCAATTCAAAGCTTCATCTTTCAAGAAGGAAACAAACTGGAGCATGTTCTGAGGAGCATAAAGAAGATACTCGGAAGCCTCAAAGTTCACTTTTGCAAATAATGGTAAAAAGATAAGGTTATCCATCACAATAAGGAGAAGCAAAATTAAACCGCCAGAAGGGTTGACATTGGAAAATTTATTCTCTGTGCTCCAAAGGACAGCGTTTAAGATTAATGGTTGAGAATCTCAGCAGATTTTAATGAAATATTAAGACAGTGACTCAGCAAGCTTTCAGGGTTCTAGTCATATCTGAACTTGGGTTTTTCAGATTCTTGATCATTTTAGTATCATTCTCAACCCTTTTTTTAGATCTTCAATATTCCTTATGAGATGGATTGATTGAATACAGTATTTCAAATTTTATTTATTTATTAATTAAATTCATTGGCTGCCCATCTTACCACAGGGTAACTCTGGGTGGTTTACAATATTAAAAGGATAAAATTATATAACATCTATACACAATACAAACAAAATACTATAAAAATATAAATACTCAACCCTAACCAAAAGACGGGGAGGGA